TTTTAAAATTCGCGAGTTCAGATCGCTCGTTTTTGCTGATGTTGCTAGTAGGTTGTTGTATATGAGCCTTTTCCAAAATTGATATTAACAATAATATTTGCCGTTATATATATCATATATTTTTTAACAAACAAAAATAATCAATAAAACCCGTAAGCCAGGCACACGAAAAACCAGATGTCGATCATAAACAGGGCCATTAATAAATAAAGAAATAATAAAACTCTCGAGGTGAGGATGTTAGCAGCTATCTGCGAAGATCTCCAGATGAACAAAAGTTTAATGTGCCCTAAGGGAGGTCACGCAGAGGGAAGCCCTCTGCAAGCCAGAAATGAGGACGCCCATGGATTAAACCATTTTTTTTTTAAACAACGGTTAAAATTTAAAATGCAATAACAAGAATAAGCTAAAGTTAGCGGTCCTCGCGCTCACTCCAATTAAGACCAGGCCACCAGATACATCAGTGAATTATTATCCAATAATTAATTTGCTATCAAATGATTTTCACCTTTAATACTTTTACTGTTAAAACAAAGCTTGGAGACAAAATACAGAGTCACATCAAAGGTTTTCAAGAAGGAATGGGACAACGGGCAAACTTGCGAAAGAGTTTAAACAATATCCCAAGCAACCCCGACCACCTTTGTCTCTCTCACAGCGCGGAGAAGCAGGAATTACACCTTATCACAAGGGGCCATCTGGAAAAGCCAGCCGGGTTTGATGAGGAGACACACCCCACCCCACACACGGCAACCAGGCAAACAAAGTTTTAAAGAAAATTGCAATATAACATTAGTAATAACGTGTTAACCTTAAACGATATTCCATTATAGAACCTTACAGAACCAAGGGATATGGATTCCAACAATCTGGAAACGGACCTCTTAAACTCAGGATGAAAATTATTTTTCTTTTTAATAATTCCATCATAACAATGCGAACCTCGGTAAACCGAAAGGGGTGTCGGGAGGATGTAGTTACAAACACGAGTCTTGGCGAACATGGGACCAAATGGTATTTGAGAAATATAAAGTCGAAAGTATAAAGAGATAGGTGCTCCCGACCACCTTTGTCTCTCCCGCAGAGCACGAGAGAGGAATTTCACGCCAGGGCAAACAGATCCTTATCGCAGGAGCCATCTGTACACACACACGAACTCACACACACACAGACCACGCCCCCCCCCCCCCCCTTATCCACTGCGCGGAGAGAATTGTCTTTGAATATAACGGTCAGCCGCATTTTCAAAAGTTAGTCAACAGAGTAAGAAGTCAAGAGTCAAGACAGATCAGCGAGTCAAGACATCCACAGGACGAGCAGTCGCATGGAGCGGCTGGCTCCGAGCCTCGCTGAGTAGCGAGAATCGCTGAGTCGCGATGGATCAGCAAAAGTGAGTCATACAGCAGTGGAGGAAATACTGCTGCCAGCGAACCAGCGCGGTGCGTTCGCGCACTTCAACAGAGAGAGCTCGTGCGACTCAACTCACTCAACAGAAGAAAAAGCTTGCCCAGCCGCCAACAAGTACCAGCGAATCAGCGCTGAGAGTGCTCGAGCATCTCCACAGAGAAAGCACGTGCAACGTGGCTCAACCAGCAGCAGAAAAGCTTGGACAGCCGCCAACAACTTCAACAAACCAGCGACCAAGCGCGTGCGACTTGAGTCATACAGTAGTGGAGGAAACCTGCTGTCAGAGAGCCGCCAACAACCTCAACAAAGAGAGCGCGTGCGACTCGGCTCACTCAGCAGAAGAAAAACTTGACCTGTCGCCCGCGAGCGCAGCGTCAGATACTACAGCAGCGGAGAGAGCGCGGCCAGCAACGCCAAGCAAGAGCGTGCAGCAGCTCAACCAGCAGTGGAGAGAAACTGCTATCAGCGAACCAACACGGGCGCGTTCGTGCATCTTCAAGGAGAGGGAGCGCGTGCCACCAGCGTGCCATCAGCATCAGCACCAGCGCGCGCCACCAGCGTACCATCAGCATCAGCACCAGCGCGTGCCAACAGCGTGCCACCAGCGTGCCACAGTGCGCAACTTCGCGTCACCAGGGCTGAGAGGGCAGCGGCCCCGCACTCAACACCCATCGGCGCGACGACGGCGAGCGTCGTGCTGACTCTTCCAGCCAGCAGTGGACAGAAACTGGCAGCCGTTCGTATGCCCAAACCCCTCCCCCACACTCTCCCCCTCACTCCCCCACCGCGCCGCAACACACAGGAAACACATTTTGGACACAAGAGATGCTAACCTCGGCGTCTGCTTTACGCAAAGAATTGAACCAGTGATAACGAAGACACGATACGCATATCGGGATAATCAAGAAGTGTTGCCACTCCAAGGTGGTGCATTAAAAATCAATTCATAACGAAAAATACTGCTGTCATTGAGTTGCATAATAACCAATCGTCCTACTGTTAACAACGTGATAAGAATTGACTTGAAGGTCTATGAATGGATATGGTACTGTGTGGGCAATGTTTAAACACGAATTTACATATTATGAGGTTAAGGTTTTGATAGAATAGTTGCATGTTTTAATCTCTCTCAACAACCGATTGTGTTACGCGTCGGGAATTAACCACAGGTGCCGCTATCGAGGTGAAACAACGCAATCGTGATGGTATCATGTTAACGCTGTGTTGAAATTCCAAAATCCCGAGATTGAGTTTTCATATTATCCAAAAATTAAAGTTAGCTAGAAAATAAAATTGATTAAAGCAGAAGGTTTGTGTGTGATTCTTCCTGAAATTCTGCATTATAGTGTTCTGCGTATGAGAACTGAATCCTGGGGACCTATCATAAGCACACTATCACCACACATAATCCATAACACACAATCAATAAACGTTAAATCGAAGATAATCGTATCCTTATTGATAATACGAAAGTAAATAGTCGAATCGACTCTCTCTCATGCACGCTCCCAATACCTGCACAACTGCATACGATTAATTGCGTTATTCCAATTTATAACACAATCCCCGTCACCGAGGCTGGACCACATAATCCATAACGACCTGCATTATCATAACCACGCCCACTCGCATAAATTAATACGATTATCTCGCGAATCAGCATAATTTATGCACATAATTACACCAATTAACATAATTTCGGATAAATTATGCAAATTTCGAATTTTATTTATTTTTTATTATTTTCATCAATTTTCATAACACCTATATATACAACAGGGTTTCTTAGCATTTTTAAGAATAGTGGCTATCTCAGCTCTCGCAATGTCTGCTTGGATGTGTCCTATACCTTTGAGGGCTACATCAACCTGAGAGATGATATCCTCTACTGTATATGTTTAGGGGTGACAGCAAAATTTTGTCCTTTAGCCAGTACTGTTTTCAGATTGTCCGAAATCTGGATGTTACTCTGATTAATAACGATTTTGTTAACGTCTAGTTTTGTAATATGTGGTCCTGGGTTCTTCTGTGGTAGGCGATTGCATTTAGCGATCAGGTTAGTTTGCATTTGACTGACAGTGAATCAGCAGAGGCAGCCGTCATGTTGTCAACGTGGTTCCAATCAGAAGGTGACATTTTTTGTGTTAACATTAAATGAGATTGTAGGAGAGTCCTGTCTAAACTATCGAGTTCAAATCGGAGTACTCTTATCCTCTCTGAGATTAGTGATAGGCTAGCCTTAAACAGAATCCGTTTAGAGTTCGGTGAAGATACAGCAGTAGAATTAGCTAGTTGCTCTTAAACTAGTCCTGAATACCTCCAAAACAAAGGTGCTATGCTTCTCACCAGGACGAAAGCAGGAAGTTATTTTTCCCCAATTACATTCCTTAAATAATTATCAAATAGAGCAAGTCAAGATCTATAAGTATCTTGGGGTCATTGTTGATTAAAAACTGAATTTTGAAGATCACATTGATTATATTAGTAAAAACACAAAAATAAAAATTGATTTTCTGTATCGACACAAGCACTGCTTCCCTCCTATGTTCCGTTTGGAATTGATAAAAGCTACCATACTGCCTCTACTTGATTACTGTGGCATCGTATATAAATCAGCCCCCAGTACTGTACTGAAGAAGCTTGACTCTACATTATGATCTCTACATTTGGTCAAACTTAACATCTCTTAATGTTCGACGGCTTGTGCATCAGATCTTATTTATCCACGATGTACTTACAAAAAAATCCGCAGACTACCTGCTGGATCTCCTCTTTGTTTCGAAGAAAATATGTGAACTAATGTCTCGCTCATTTACCAGCTTCACATTTCTTCTTGTACAAATAATGGAGGAAAGGCCTTTGCTGTTGATGCCCCCAGGGTCTGGAATGCTATTGCAATAAACTGCAACTTGAATCACTACCTATGAGATCTGCACTCAAAACTGCTCTAGAGGAGTTGTACACCCCTAGCTACCACTGCTATTCAGTGGCCTAAAATAAAAATGTGTCGCTCCGGATGACTGCTGCAAAGTATGATCTTGTGTTTTGATTTAGTGTGCTGATCTTTAAAGGTGCATTGAAAGATGGTGATACTCCTACTTACTGATGCTTCTGCTATTGTGGAGTGACTCATGCAGCCAGCTGTGGCTACAGCGTTTGGTGTTATATGTTGTTTATGTCGTTTATTGTTAAATTTCGGTCACAGTTCCTATGATCACTGTTACATTGCTTTTATGGCTTTATTTTGGTGATTTCGAAAAGTTTTTTGTTTGTTGTAGTACAGAGTTACAAAGTTGTCTTGTGGTTGTTGTGCATCCCACTGGTATTTTTGCACACAGCGTTGGTGTGCAGTGCTTTTTTCTGCAAGATTTTGCTGTTTTTTCCTGGATTTTTCTGTTTGCGCATAGTCACTTTAAGATGTCTTCTTGTTCATGTTTTTGTTTTTTGTCTGTTGCGGTTGCACCCGATTCAAGAGCCGAATGGCTCACGGGGCTATACCAAATAAATGAAACTTGAAACTGAAAACTGGTTCAGAGGCCACGGCTAATCACTCCATATATGGGCATCAAACGTTAACATAATTTATTCACACACATCCCCCTTAAATTGCGGGGAGGCGGTGGGTGCTAGTGACTTCATGTCATCTCTCCTGCCGCGCGCTTTTGTGTGACGTCACGAGATTCCAGGAGCTGCTTCTGTGCGCTCAACTCCCTCGGATCGGAGGTGAGAAGTTCACATCGTGATGTTGGTTGTTGTTGTTCACCCAGGTACAGCCTCGCTTCTTCCCTCCCTCTCTCGTAGCGATATTAATTGAGGAGCGGCAAGTATGGAATCGATGTCCAGGTTGGAACGTTACTACGTGGGGCCGAGCCATGCAGGCCTTGCCTCCTGCCCTTGCCTGACTGACTTTGTTTTGATTCTCTTAAGTTTAATTTGTCTTCATCTGGCTGACTACTTCACCTCTCAGAGTCTCCATACTCTAGTTCAGGATCATCGAGTTTTTGCTTTTCATTCGGGGGGGAGGGGGGCGATGCTTCTGCGCGTATTCCCGATTGAGTAATCTGCAGGCCGCTTGTCAACACTGGAATATTCGGACGATACCAGTCCAGACGTTTAATTTTAGTCGGAATGAGACGTCAAAGCATTACACAATTAAACTCGCCCACCAACACGCTCACCCACACGCTCCCACTCGTACACTTACACACTCACCCACTGTTAGCGAGCATCTATGAAGGCCGGCACGGCACACGAAGGGGTGGGTGACCAGCACCACCCCCGGACTGCCTTTGCCTCCCGAGTGGCAATGTTTACACACCGCACCAGGTACTCATTTGAGGCCGAGTTGACCTAGGGGAGGCCTAGGACCAGTTCAGATATGAATAATATATGAGGGCTTCATTGGAGTATCTGTAATAGCGCGAATAAGAATACAGGCGCTAAACATTATTTAATAAAAAATAATGATTTCTAACATCAGTATTATGTACTATACTTACGAGTGCATTCTACTTACTCATCCTAATAATAAGACATTTTATTTGTGAGCGCTTTTCTGAATATTCAAAGACACTTTACATAAAATCATAAAAGCAGCAAAAAACATCAAATGGTAAAAACACTCAAGTCAGTGTAGGGAGACGAGGTTGAAGGAGCTGCTGCGGTTACAGTCCGGGTCATTCTAAGAGAAAGGCTTCAGGACCTCCCTGATTCCTGATCTTAGTGCAGCCCTCAATCTAAATTTGTGTGGTGAGGTTTTTTTAGATGGAGCCTGAGACTCTATCCTGGTCGTGTGAGTTCTCAACTGGCTAAACGAGTCAATGTTTTTTAAAAAATATAATCAATGACCACGAACCGTGATCATTAAATCGCGGGGGTTGGGGTCTGGTTGGCTTGGAGCATGCATCTCTCTCATTGGCCGAGCGAACAATGGGGCTGGGAACGTTTGCTTGGCTCGCGCTGCTGCGTGTTCTCACTCTTGAGCACTTTGTAAACTTACAAAAATTAAGAACAAAAATATCCAAGACAAAGAGCGCTGTAACAAATCTGCACTCTGAAGGTTAGCACTAAGCGAGGTCTGCCTGTATGTTGTGTGTAATATGTATGTGTCTGCAGAATCAATCACATGGAGAAGAGAGGCTCAGCAAAAGCTGGACGTAAAAGGCACCAATGCATCCAGTGTCCATACAGCACAGATCAGATGGGTAACTTGAAGAGACATCAGAAAAAACATTCAGGTGAGAATGCTTTCAAGTGCACTGTCTGTGGGAAAGAGTTTATATTATCAGGAAACCTAAAGAGGCATGAGAAGATCCACAAGCAGAAAGTGAAATCGACTTGTGAAAGTCAACATGCTGCAATGACCCCATCTCTCATGAAACGGAGATCAGAAGAAAATTCCAACTTGGCAACACGGCCAGGAGTGACAGTGAAATGTGAAGAAGTGCAATGTGAAGAAGTGAAGGTGAAATGTGAAGATCAAGATTCGACTCCAGAAGCCAATCTACAAGTGGATGGAGGCAGCGTGAAGCAGGAGGAACATTCTGATTCTGAGGGAGACCGAATCAATCACATGGAGAAGAGAGGCTCGGCAAAGGCTGGAAGTAAAAAGCACCAATGCATCCAGTGTCCATGCAGCACAGATCAGATGGGTAACTTGAAGAGACATCAGAGAACTCACACTGGCGAGAAGCCCTTCAAGTGCAGTGTATGTGGTAAGGCATTTGCAGAGTCAACATATCTTAAGAAACATAATAGAACACACACGGGCGAGAAGCCCTTCAAGTGCACTGTGTGTGGCAAGGCATTTGCTCGTTCAGAAACGCTTCATATTCATCAGAGAACACACACCGGTGAGAAGCCCTTCAAGTGCACTGTGTGTGAGAAAGCATTTGCTCATTCAGACGTTCTTCTTGTTCATCAGCGAACACACACCGGTGAGAAGCCCTTCAAGTGCACTGTGTGTGGTAAGGCATTTGCTCAACCATTAACTCTTCATATTCATCAGAGAACACACACCGGTGAGAAGCCCTTCAAGTGCAATGTGTGTGGAAAGTCATTTGCTCAATCAACAACTCTTAAAATTCATCCGAGAACACACACAGGCGAGAAGCCTTTCAAGTGCAGTGTATGTGGTAAGGCATTTACAGAGTTAGCACATCTTAAGAAACATAATCGAACACACACGGGCGAGAAGCCCTTCAATTGCACTGTGTGTGGCAAGATATTTGCTCGTTCAGAAACTCTTCACATTCATGAGAGAACACACACCGGTGAGAAGTGCTTCAAGTGCACTGTGTGTGGGAAGTCATTTCTTCATTCAAAAACTCTTAAAATTCATCAGAGAACGCACACAGGCGAGAAGCCCTTCAAGTGCAGTGTATGTGGTAAGGCATTTGCAGAGTCAGCATATCTTAAGAAACATAATAGAACACACACGGGCGAGAAGGCCTTCAAGTGCACTGTGTATGGGAAGGCATCTGCTCATTCAGAAACTCTTGATATTCATAAAAGTACACACACAGGCGAGAAGCCTTTCAAGTGCAGTGTATGTGGTAAGGCTTTTGCAGAGTCGGAAAATCTTCAGAAACATAATAGAACACACACAGTTGAGAAGCCCTTCAAGTGCACTGTGTGTGGCAAGCCATTTGCTCGTTCACAAACTCTTAAAATTCATCGGAGAACTCACACAGGCGAGAAGCCCTTCAATTGCAGTGTATGTGGTAAGGCATTTGTAGTGTCAGCACATCTTAAGAAACATAATAGAACACACACAGGCGAGAAGCCCTTCAAATGTACTGTGTGTGGCAAACCATTTGCTCGTTCAGAAACTCTTAATATTCATCAGAGAACACACACTGGTGAGAAGCCCTTCAAGTGCACTGTGTGTGGCAAGCCATTTGCTCATTCAAAATCTCTTACAATTCATCAGAGAACTCACACAGGTGAGAAGCCCTTCAAGTGCAGTGTATGTGGTAAGGCATTTGCAGAGTCAGCATATCTTAAGAAACATAATAGAACACACACAGGTGAGAAGCCCTTCAAGTGCACTGTGTGTGGAAAGGAGTTTATATTATCAGGAAAGCTAAAGAGGCATGAGAAGATCCACAAGGATAAAGTGAAATCGACTTGTGAAAGTCAACATGCTGCAATGAGCCCGTCTCTCATGAAACGAGAATCAGAAGAAAATTCCAACTTGGAAACACAGCCAGGAGTGACGGTGAAATGTGAAGAAGTGACGGTGAAATGTGAAGAGCAAGATTCGACTCCATTACCCAATCTACAAGTGGATGGATGCAGCGTGAAGCAGGAGGAGCATTCTGATAATGAGGGAGAGCGAGGCAATCCCCAGCAGTTTGTGGATGTGGAGGTGTGGGTGGAGTTTTTGGACAAAGCTGAGTAGGAGAGGCCAGCACATGTGAAATGGCACCTTGGAAGATGTGTAACCAGGGGTTTGAGACGATTTTCAAAAGCATTCGCCTTATTCACAGGCTTATGTCATTTAAAAAATGCATATGGGTGTCGGTGTCATCCAATCAGAGATGAGCTTTATGTACATATGAAGTCGTTGAGTGTCAAAGTGAAATACAGGCAGTCCCCTAGTTAGAAGGGTTGGGTTACCGAAGGGTTAGGTTACAGAGATCCACAACCCAAATTTCCGTATGTCAGAAACTGAACAGTTTTCTCCCATAATAGAGATAAATCCCATAGCCAGAAAGAGTTGTGCCTTCCCTACCTGATTACTAGTTTGTTTTCTCTCAGTACTGTATCGCGATGTCATCCGTTTTCTAACGCACCTGTATCGTATCGCTTTATATACGCTCTGCACCTCCTATGGTTCTTTCATTTAATAGAATATCGACCTTATCCATACTTAAACTAATGTAAAATATACTGTATCCAATTGTTTATACCACTATATTTTTATTCTTATTTCTATCAGAAATGTTCATTTACCGTGCATTACACTAGGCCTAGACTTCTCCAATTGCTGTTGGCTGAGACCATAAACAATTGAAGTGTAATTGTGTTTAATAATGTACGTAGAGTAAATTACTCATGAAATAAATTTAAACTGTAAAAAAACTACAGGATGATGTGGTACAGTATATGTTCTATTAGTTAAATTTTGGGTAGTGTTGAGGTAAATATTCGATTAAATTAAAAAATCGTAGAAAGTCAGAGGGTACCTACACGGCCATCACCAGTGATGATTATCCTTTTTTTTTCAACGGTTTTACTTAACTTGAAAGCTGTGTCGTGGTCAAATCTTGTAATCTACATTTTGTCCACTTCCCGTTGTCCAATCAATCCCTAATTTTGCACACACTCAGTTCTGGTGACAATGCATGCCTGTATCAAAAGCACCATCAGTCAATAAGTTAATTGGCTCCTTTAAAGCAATTAACATTTTGTATGGACGCCTTATTATATATTTGTGTAGGTCAAAAACGCCGCGGTCCCTACACTCTCGAATCATCTCGCCAAAAAAGCAAGCACCACGTGTCTCAGGCAGATTCATTTCTAAAACACTCAATAAAAGCAGGCAAGCGATGATATGGCAGCAGGCGCCGCATCATTGACGTACTTCTTGACGGTGAGTTAAACGAAATAGTGAAAAAACATTTTTTATTAAACTTCATTCCTGTTTGAATGTTGTCAAATCTTGTAATCAAAATGTCACCCTGTTCACCTTGTCCAATCGAGTTATTAAACTTCATTCCTCTGTATGCCGTGGTCAAATCTTGTAACCGACATTTCGTCCACTTCCCGTTGTCCAATCGATCCCAACTTTAGCACACATACTCAGATCCAGACACAATGCATGCCTGATGCAAAATCGGCATCAATTGATCAATTACTTGCACCGTTTAAAGCAAGTGATATTTTGTATGCAAGCCTTATTCGATGAGTGCTTTGCGAGCAGGTTTTGTGAAAAAAATATGAAAACCAACTTAGAAGTCGAGAGGTTTTTTTTGGTACTATTGTATTTTTCCTTATTTAAGGTCAACAGTAACATTCAATGCTTTGGTGTCTTTACAAAAGTTTATTTTTATGTAGTGTATCCAATGGGAAAATGCATTGAGAGGGTCCGTGACGTCATTTTGGCTCGAACCCCATTTAAAGCGAACGTTTAACATTTATATTGGTGTTTTCTCCATTTCATTAAGCTGTTTGTGGTGGACAAATCGGTTGAGTATTGCCTTTTAAATACATTCTGCAATCAAATCTGTGAAGTCTGCACAAAACGCTGCTATCCTAATAATATTGACATAGTATGAGGTAATCAAAATACATTGCACTATCTTCCAACCGAATTGTCATCAAAGCAAACATTGCAAATGTGTTCCTGTTGCAAGCCACACAGCAGTAACAATAGAGCCGCACCGCCAAAAGCTCACTGGAATTATTCGGATCCTGGTGAAATTCCAGATGTTATTCGAGTCTTACCACAGCCAGAATAACGTCTCTTATCAAGAGTTATACCTTTTGTGAACATCATCAAATTCACTGGAGTATTCGGTCAATATGGCTTCCGTGGACAGGCAGTGCTCTGTGCTATAGACATCCTTGAAGTTGGTGACACACTTCCACGAGAAATGGCTAATACTGGAATAGTTGTCATCAGAACATCTTGAAAATCTCAACATCACACGTGTATTCTCTATACATCGTGAACAGGTTTACAATCCACTCAAATGGCTAATTCAAAACAATCCACTTTATTGGGATTTAAGAATCCAATGAAGAATTTTCGATTTAAAACTTTCGTGACTGCAGGGATTCATATTCTTGGTTCTTTCAGTAAAGTCGCGTAGAATGGAAATAATAAAAGAATAAAAATGAAACAATTCTCACGACGTTTTGGCCACAACGCAAGCAGCCGTCCTCGGGTGAAGATCAGAGCTGTTGGAAAGAAAGCGTCCTAATAAACACTGCTAGGTTTGGCAGCGTATTTTAAGCTGGGTGGGAGGAGGAGAGCGCCTTGACAAAGGGGTTTACATATAAAGAGGGATTTAGCAAATTGATGACAAATGCAGATATGGGGTTAGTCATTCCTTGTGGAATGTGTAGGCGGTGGGGAGTCTCAAGTTGTATTCTCGTGTATTATGTAGGATTAGCAGTAATTTTAATAATAAAGAACTGCAGCAGCCCAAACCACCGCGTATCAAGCTAGTGCATTATGTGGAAAACATAAAAGGAGTTTCTAAAGAACTGCAAATACCCTACTACCATACAATAAACCGATGTGAAAAAAATTAAATATAAACTACATCAATATAATCAATGTACTCAATATACTCTCCAATAAGATGAGCTATTAACATGAAGTAACTGGGTATACACTACACTATATAATGACTACCATATAGTAAACTGTTGAATAAAAAATAAATATTAACTACATTAATATATCTTCTTTGGTTCTTTCGGTAAAGTCACGTAGAATGAGAATAAAATAATAAATTGATAAAATAACAATATTCTCACGACGTTTCGGCCACAACACAAGCGGCCTTCATCAGGTGAAGGGGGCGAGACTGTCTGGTAGGACAGCGCTGGAGTGAGAGAGCCACGTTCAGATCACGGCTTTTAAGCTGTGTGAGAGGAACAAAGAGCCTTGACAAAGGAATTAGCATATAATTTAGCATTGAAATGGCTGAATGATTAGCTTGTGACTGGTCACAGAAATAGCTATGTTAAAAGTTAAAGCATACACATCCGCAGAGGCACCCCTTGTTAAAGGAATTAGCATAGAATTTAGCATTGAAATAGCTAAGTTAAAGCATACACATCCGCAGAGGCACCCCTTGACAATGGAATTAGCATAGAATTTAGCATTGAAATAGCTGAGTGATTAGCTTGTAACTGCTCACAGAAATAGCTACGTTAAAGTCAGAGCATACACATTCACCGAGGCACTTAGTACAAATCAAACAGGAGAATTTAGCATTGAAATAACTAGGCGAATTTAGCATTGAAATAACTGAGTGATTAGCTAGTGACTGGTCACAGAAATGACTGTTGAAGTCAAGGCCTACACATCTGAGCTATTCACAGTACTATATAGTGAACCAATAAAAAACTAAAATATAAATTACCTTAATGTTATCAATAAACTCTATATTCTCCAATCAGCTAAGCTACCAACAATAAGTCGTTATATATCACAATGCTATATGGTGAAAAAATGGGTGGATTCTTACCCTCAACTTTAGCACCACGAATAGCTACGGGTCCCGTTCAGACGGACGAGTTCGTCCATGGTCGGAACAGAGGAGGGGGAGAGGTCGAAAAAGATGGCAAACTACCCTTTTTGGATGTCTTAATTAAAAGGAGACATGATGGTTCAATGAGCCACTCTGTCTACAGGAAAGCTACCCATACAGATGCTTACTTGAAACCGGATTCCCACCACCATCCATCCCAGAAGAACTCCCTCATCAAGACTCTATACCATAGAGCCCAATGCATTTCCGACCAGGAACACATTACCAGTGAACTCAAGCACGTACACCAGGCTCTCAGGGCTAATGGCTACTCTGACTACACAATCCGCAAAGCCATCACTCCAGTCATGAAGAAGGATCCCCTTGTGGAGCCACTCAAAACCATCACCTTACCCTACATTGCAGGGGTCACTAAAAAGATCTCCAAAATCCTGAATAAACACAAGATCCAGGTCCGATTCAACACAGTACATAAAATCCGTGATTTAGTTCCATCTGTAAAATATGCTGTTCCAGACATACAGTACCCGGGCGTTTACAAACTAAAGTGCCTCTGTGGTAGTAGCTACATTGGAGAAACCAAAAGACATATCTCGGACCGCATCCGCGAACATAAAGCAGACTTGAAATACGGTAGGACGAACTCCTCTGCCGTGGCAGATCACTGTTATAATTCAGTGGGCTCACATGACATTGACTTCTCCAAGACGGAGGTTCTTTGCAAACCAACCGGCTACCATGAGAGATTCGTTCATGAGGCCATTCACATATACAAGCACAGAGACAATTTCAACCGAGAAGATGGATTCTGGCTTAGTAACCACTGGAAAGATGTTTTAAATCATTTCTGTTCTTAATTAATTGTATTTTTACGATGACCTTCAGACCGCAGCTCCTTCGCCAGCATTGACTCTTAATACCTCTCACACCACGGTTAATGGTATGGTTTTACAACATGGAGTATAATAGCGCCTCGCAGCTGTCTCTCTCCCCCTCCTCTGTTCCGACCATGGACGAACTCGTCCGTCTGAATGGGGCCCGTAGCTATCCGTGGTGCTAAAGTTGAGGGTAAGAATCCACCCATTTTTTCGCCATATAGCATTGTGATATATAACGACTTATTGTTGGTAGCTTAGCTGATTGGAGATGTAGAGTTTATTGATAACATTAAGGTAATTTATATTTTAGTTTTTTATTGGTTCACTATATAGTACTGTGAATAGCTCAGATGTGTAGGCCTTGACTTCAACATAGTCATTTCTGTGACCAGTCACTAGCTAATCACTCAGTTATTTCAATGCTAAATTCGCCTAGTTATTTCAATGCTAAATTCTCCTGTTTGATTTGTACTAAGTGCCTCGGTGAATGTGTATGCTCTGACTTTAATGTAGCTATTTCTGTGAGCAGTTACAAGCTAATCACTCAGCTATTTCAATGCTAAATTCTATGCTAATTCCATTGTCAAGGGGTGCCTCTGCGGATGTGTATGCTTTAACTTAGCTATTTCAATGCTAAATTCTATGCTAATTCCTTTAACAAGGGGTGCCTCTGCAGATGTGTATGCTTTAACTTTTAACATAGCTATTTCTGTGACCAGTCACAAGCTAATCATTCAGCCATTTCAATGTCAAATTATATGCTAATTCCTTTGTCAAGGCGCTTTGTTCCTCTCACACAGCTTAAAGGCCGTGATCTGAACGTGGCTCTTTCACTCCAGCGCTGTCCTACCAGACAGTCTCGTCCCTTCACCTGATGAAGGCCGCTTGTGTTGTGGCCGAAACGTCGTGAGAATATTGTGTTATTTTATTTTATCAATTTATTATTTTATTCTCATTCTACGTGACTTTACCGAAAGAACCAAAGAAGATGAATCATTGCAGTCACGAAAGCTTTAAATCGATACATTAATATAATCAATGTACTCAATATACTCAACAATAAGCTGAGCTACTAACAATGTCATTATACATGCACTTGTCGAAAAAAATGGCGTTTTTTTCCTTAACGCTCGCACCACGGAAAGCGGCGAGCGTTGTTCAGATGGACGAGTCCATCTATGCTCGGAATGGAGGAGGGGGGAGAGAGAGAGAAACAACCACGGTGCGTTCCTCTGCCTGTGCTGCGTTACAACTATGCTATAAACTAGACTACTATACGTTACAATATTATACCTTCCAATCTAAACTACACTGTATAATATCGTATACACAGCCAAATATAAGCTCTAACATGCGTTATATTGATATGCCTCCAACTAAACTTTTTTTCTACATCACACGACTATACACCGTACTATACACTGCCATAGACAAACCCCAACATTGAATTACCCTGTACCTTAGACTTTACATTGTAATATTACACTATGTTTAGTTGGAGGCATATCAATATAACGTGACTTTACCGAAAAAAAAACAAGAAAATCAATGAAGAAGTAAACATCGCTGATGTACATTCCATTGCTATTCCTGCACAATAACCAGTGGGGCAAAATCAGC